ACTTAAAGACAGAGCTACTTTTACCGGCTGGAAGACGGAAGGCTGGGTGCGGTGGCTCGCTGGCTTGCGTGGCGAATACGAAAGGCGCATGCAGGCAATGTGCACCCTTCTTGAAGAGCACGCTTACCAATTGAAGCAGTCAACGCCTGTGCGTGATGCCGACTGGGACTGGGGCGTCATTACGAAGACCAAGCTGTACGAGTTCGAGTGGCCGCGTGGTGGCATGTTTTTATGGCTTAAAGTCCACTTCGAGGCCCACCCATTGTTCGGGGCTATAGGGTCTCAAGGTAATGTGATCGACGGGCCGGCGCTCTCGTCCGCGCTCATGATCTTCCTAACGCACAAGCCGTTCCTCGTCCTCGCCAGTCCCGGCATGATGTTCAGTTCTACACCAGAGATCGCCGCTGATCGAGGCTGGGCCTACTTCCGTCTGTGCTTTGCTGCCGAGACGGACGAAATGAATAGCGCCTGTTCGACCCGGTTCGGACAGGGCGTGCAAAAGTTCTGGCGCATCAAAAAGGTCGCCGAGATTGAGGCTCTCCTGGAGGAAGCAGAGACACTCAAGCCCGAAGAAGTTGAGGGTTTGACGAACTTGGGTTTGATGGGCTGCTAGATTTTTAGATAGGTGACTTAGGATAGATACTTGGCCTACGCTCATACCATGTATGCGGGCCCTGTGTTAACGATATAATGAGATACTGCCTCGATTTGAGATACTGGAATACTAAGAACTAGTTATTGATGTCCTGAGTGTGGTCTATAACTTGGAAGTGCCTTGAAAGAGTGGAATACTTGTGAAAGAAGAAAAGACTCTTAAGTTGATTTAAGAAAGTTGTCAATAAGGTTCAAGCGAGCGGGGTTGATAGGGGGTCGACTACTGAGACATTGATAGACGCACGCACGAGCCCACGCAGGGGCCCTCCTTGCCAGTATCACAAACTAACGAACATTATCTATCGCTGCTGTGTTCGGAAACCCAGCTTGTGGGAAGGCACGATAGTTCTTTCTAGTGGTAAGAAGAGAACGTACCTAGACATCGAAGTCGACTGGGAGGGAAGTCTATGGTTCCATTCGCTGATTGATACTTCAACTCGAGGAATTAATTGTTTCGCTCGAATATCATATTGGATCCATGCACGGTTGATATGAATCGACTGGTTTTCTACGGTTTGCCTTGCGAGCTGGTTGGAAGGAAACTGTTCAAGGGGCCGGGGATGGGGGAACGTGTAACCGTAGTAAAATGCTGAACACCTTAGACCTGCTTGCTAATTGTGTTTCAGTGTACATGAATGTTTGGTCGATTCCAACTAGAATTTGGAATGGGTCGAGGATATGTATTTGCTGGAGTTACAAGATACATTACGTAGACTTCACGATGGAATTATCTTGTCACGACTGGGCCATCGCTAGCAACTAGTTTCACAGATTCGAGCATAAAGATGGAAGAAGACGAATTTGGGCAGAGAAATGTTCAATAAAGACAATTCCATTGATTCATGAGACCCTATGACCCCATTACGCCCATTATAATCGCAATCCGATGCTATCTCCTTAACCGTTTTCTTTTAGAAAAGCTGCTCACCAAGCTGATCTAACTTAATCCTCCTTCAGGACATTGAGGAAGGTCTCGGGGGTCTTAAGAGGCTTGCCGGCCTCCTTCTTCTGCTGACCGAGCTCATTCTTGACGAATGTCGAGTGGTAGGGGTTGAAGCGCAGCATGACCTGCTTGTTGCGCAGAGGGTTCTTCTGAACACCAGCGCGCTTGGTCAGCGCACCGCCCTTGGGGGCGCGTAGGACGCTCTGGATTTCGGAGCTGTTGATCAGACGGCTCAGGTCGGCCTGGGAGACGATGTTCGAAGGCAGGAGGAAGTCCTTCTTGAGCTCAGAGGGTGTGGTGGTGGTGCCGTAGATGCTGTCAAGGGCCTTGAAAGCAGCCGAGGTCCAGACGATGAATCGGCCGAGGTGACCACCAGGGGCCAGCTGGAGAAGGTTGAGAGCGTAGACAGAGCAGGTCTCAACACCGGGCAGGTTGCGGGTACCCTTGACGAGCTCGGTACCATCAACCTCGGGGTCGTAGATGACTAGGGGTCCACGGCGCTGGCGGTGACGGCGGCCTCGCATCTTACCCTTACCAGCTCGCAGCTTCTTAGACTTCTTAGCCTTGATAACATCGGCAGAGGCGCCCACAGCGGACAGGATGGCGAAAGCGTTGGCGGTCTTAGCGGCGGCACCTCCCTCGAAGACAGCAGAGTCGATGACTAGGGGAACCTCGGGGACGCTGGAGATCTGGTGGCCACGGGCGAGGAGAAGAGGAGCGACAGCGGAGGCAGCAAGAGCAGAGGCAGTAGCGAATCGCCTTCCCATTGTTAGTCTCAACGCGTTTCACAGTGGAAGCACTCTGGCGCCGATACTCACTTCTGACCCTGGTTGATCTTGATGTGCCACTTGCGCCAGATCTTGGTAGGGGCGAACATGCGACCGGAACGGCACATGTTACCGAAGGCAGCCTGACCGGCACGGTGAGTACCACCACCCGAGACACGGGGAATACGAGCGACAGCGCGACCTGGGCGTCATTGTCAGCAGCTATTTCGACATCGCCAGTTCATGTCTATGTAGTCCAATCGGGCCCCAAGCCACTGCGAGCATCCATCTCATCTTGCAAACTTCAATCCAGGAAAAGCGGGCGACTAACCAGTTCCCCAGGACTCGGCAGAGGTCTGGTGACCGGCCTTCTCGCTCACGGCGTAGGGCTGGCGCTTGTTCTTGGCCATGCCGGTGTGGACCTGCTGGACAATGTCGGGTCGGATGGGCGAGGCAAAGACGGAGGGAATGGGATGGGTAGCTCCCGAAGGAGTACCATCTTTGCCGATGATGGTGACAGTCGGTCTCGAGGCCATCTTGAAGTCGCTGGGCTGTGTGTGGAAGGTTAGTAAAGGGCGGAGGGAAGGATTCGGCAGGCGAAGCCCCAGTTCTGTGGTATGGACGGCGTGCGTACCTCGACTTTGTGGTTGACGGTCTGGAGAAATTCGGTTGGTGATAACTTCCCAAGTCGAAAATTGACGGTCGAGGTCCCCAAATTAATTTTGTGTGGGAGTGGAGGGCTAATCGATTTCGCCTGTCTGGCAGCCGTCGACGCCCTGCCGGACCGTACCTAGATGCTGACAAGAATACCCATGTCCAGCCTGCAGATCTTCCTGCAGCCAATCAGAAGATAGGTACCTTACCTAGTACTTCCAACCTTAAATTGTACCTAGGATACCATTCCGTGCACTTAATGCGCTCATGAGGTCGACGGTCATTCATTGCACCTCAAACATAAATACGATCAGGTCTCTGAAGGCGCTGAGGCATGGTTTCGATGCGAATATTAGAATGTCATACATTGGCTGGAATCAGGCATTGTTTTCCAAATTCGCAGCTTCTCTTATTCGCAATAGCACAAAAGTGTACATACAGTAATAAGCTTGAGAATGCAGCTGTTTGAGGACAAAGTGTATATAACATTAAGCATATACATTAAGCTTATGCACAGTCTTGCAAATCTATGAATGGTTATCGATTTCTACAAGAACTACGTACCATAACCTTCACTATCTGCAGAGCAAAACAGGCCTCATTCCTAGCAATGGTATTGTGGCCATGAAACGCCTGTGACAACCGTCACCGAAGGAATCTTCACGGGTGAGTGAATCTTTCAGCATCAGCACTGTGTATGCTGGATTTCAACTAGAAGCCGTGGACCTTGATTTTCTTGGGGTCAAGCTCCAAGCCGTTGCGGTCGACAAGGAATTCCTCTACGCGGGGTTAGTCTAACGGTACCTGGTCGTGGGAAGTGTCTTATAAGGGGCCACATACGATGACCTTGCGCTGGTCACCTTGCAGTTGAATGACTTCGCCCATGTTACTGTCCATTACAACAGTGCCATTGCAAGCGAATTTCTTCTTGATGACGGTGAGAATCTTCTTTCGGTCAAACTTGTTGGGCAACCCCTGAACAGTGGTCAAGGTTTTGCGGCATTGCGCTCTGCATCTGTTAGCCGCGTCGCGCAAGCGCCGGATGAGGCAACCACAGCGGGGAATACTAACGCCGAATGTGGACGTAGTCCTCTTGCTGGCTGTTCACTTGGCTCGTGTCCTCATCTGCTTCAGCATCATGGGAACGGATCTAGACGCACGGTAACGCATTAGCGGGGCTGCGAGGGTCATTGGCCTAGGGCTAGCCGAGGCTGCATACCAAAGGACTTAAGGTTCTCGATGGACATCTATGACACGAGGCTTTCAAGCGACTTGAAAGATGGTTGTATGAGGGTAATCGATGCTCCAGACTTGTATTGGCGCCGGCTAATTCCTCAGGACGTTTTGAGATATAAATATTTGGGCAGTAGATAGATCGGATGAGTGGCGAGATAGACAAGTAGACAAGGAATCAGGAGACAAAGGGTGGGTGGGGTAAGGAAGTTAAGCCGACAAGGAATGCGATAAGGTTCCATAGGTTATTTGTTAGACACCCCACCCACTATACAGCCCTGGAGATATCCCGGTATTTATCTAGTTGAGGGAAACTTATTCTTTTTGATACTCAAGGTAACACATTAGGTGGTTGTTTTAAAAGAAGATATTTTGGGTTGCGGATGAAAAGGTTTTCTTTTACTAAGTAGACAATCTAATATGCTGAGATAATGTCGTCAGAGAAGCGAACAATCCAACTTAGGTATTGTGGCGTTCGAAAGTGGCTGGTGGGCTTCGCCCACACAAACCTAATAGATTACCCACCCTAGGTAGTAGATAGCTGGGAATCACCATCCCTTCTAGATATTCAATTGAGCCACTCGGATTGAACAGGTTCCACCCAAAAAGCTTCAGTATCATGAAGATGCTTCGCAGACTAAGCGCAACGGTAACAACCATGACACCACCTGGTATTGTTACTTACCTAGGTCACATGAAGGTTGAGGGTCCAATTATAGGTTGGCAATAAGAGATACTAACAACATTAATCCGAATTGGTGTAGTGGCCAACATTTGACGCTCTCATTTACATTGCAAAATGTAGAAAAGCACCGTCAAGCCCGGGGTTCGATTCCCCGATTCGGAGTAGCAATAAGTTTTCTTTTGTTTCTTCCATCTGCGAAGATCCACTTCCATCCTTTATGTTTTTTTGTTGTTCTTCATCTTCAATGCACAAAATACCTGCGGGACCTACCATTGGTCACATGATCAACCCCGTGCACACAGCTGGAGGAATATCGTTTTCTTCCTGCCTTTTTCCATCCTACGATCAATATACAACAAATGGGGCCCCAACCAGGAGCCCTTCCTCCATAAAGGACACCAATTGTAACGCTCAGATCCTAGGTTATTCCTGAAGGCTGTGACTATTATGCAGGAATTCAGCATTGCTAGATGCCCAGGGCAACAAGCTTAGCGACCTTCCAAACTTAGAGGGCACAGTTTTTGTAGTTCGTCTAGCTTACTGAAATCGCCTTGGAATAATACAGTTACTCTCATTCTCAAAGTGAAATGGCGCTCTACGAGTTTAGTAACAGAATATTGTATTAGCGGTACTATTTTCACATTCTATCTACAGGTGTATAGCAACAAGCCATCGATTGTAAAGGTATTGATGCCAACAGGAAACGTTCCTGCATATACACAGACCGGGTTTTGTCATACAGGGCTGAGTATTGTGGTCGTGTTGCCGCCATATTAAATCTGTTGTGCAACACGACCTATCTGTAGACGTGCCAAGTAAGAACCGCGAGACGATTGCGCCGAATCTCCTGGCAGGACCGTACGATTGCTTCTCAATCGGTCTTATTCAACTGCCCGTCTGGCATGTCTACATGTCTTTCAAGTCATCAGCTGTCCGAGATAGGTTACAATATCGCCAAGTTGGTGTAAGCATCGAACCGTCGAGGGCGGTCTGGGCCAATACCGCGCAGGCGAGATTGCATTTTACTGCGGGTTGAAGTTGCAATTACCAGGTCGATTGCTAAGAAAGGCCCGAACAAGGCTATGAATAGAGAGCACGCCAAGCTATCCAACAACGTTAGATATAATTTACCTACCATATTCAGAACCTTTCACATATTCATCGTGACATTGAGAACGGTGTAGCTGTAGCCTGCAGACGATATGCTTGCGACCCACGAAGTTTGCCGCATCCCATCGGTACGCACGGCTGGTACTTAGATGCGCTAAGGATGACCTCCGCCAATAGTCCCCCATAGCGTACCGTATGTGCGTCTTTCTAATCCAATTTGGACCGCAGTAGGCATGCGAAGCCACGTTCTGTGCAGTTTTCGATTTCCACTCCACTCCAGCTCCTCGGCAAGGCTCCCGGGGGTCAATGCAACCTAACCTCGGCCCCAGTCTTGATTTACTGCGTACACGGTGGTGTAAGAATGCCTGCCATACCTAATCTAAACAGAGCTGTTGCCCGAAAGAGGACGACTGTTTCTATATTACAAGTTACACTACAACTCTATCCATACCCATCCCCAACCATACAAACACGTTCCGAGTGATGACTATTTCTAACGTCCTAACTGAGACCACCCTGGATTCAGCATACCATTCTAACAACTACACTAGTAAGCAAGCAACGTGACCTCTGAAACTACTGTATTTCGGATGCTACAAAAATGCTACTTCGGTTACCGTAGCCGCTTGGATGGGCCAATGCTAATCGTATAGGCTGAGGGCACAGCATCAATTGTGACGTGGATAACATGAAAACGCTTGGAGCTGATTCCCAGCGCAAAGACCTATCTAGCGCGATCTAGCCAGGTGCGCGGCTGACTGGGGTAAAGATCCAACAGTCCAGGGGGTTTCTCAAAACTACGTCTACCCGTTGCGGCTGTCGATCCTAGCCCAGGATCATTCTCGATCGAGATGTCCTATTCTCGGTAACACAACATGCGTACTGTCTTCTTATTCGAGCCACTTATACTATATTCCCGCCGACCCGGATGCGAGATACAAGCGTATGTACTTTTGTTCGCTTGTTCATGCTGGCCTATTCATCATTGGTGTGTTGTGACTATAGCAAAAAGTTACTAATATTAGGATATTGAATTGCTTATGGGTGATTATCTCTAGAGACAATGGCCTGACCGTTCCTGTCTTTTGTGGAAATACCGAGACATTTAAGACCGTTCAGGGATCTATCATAGGTTGCATCCCGTACGCCACGAGGCTAGACTGCGGAGATGGGCTGTTGTCCCCTCATACCTGCCCAACTCGGGAGCCATGTATTGTCAAGCTGAAGGGAAATTATTGTTTAGAGGCATTTTCTCGCCACCTGGCTTCCTATCCGTCACCTCAGGTACACTACGCTATCGCTGTCTGATGGGACCAACCCCCGCAATACTGGAGGGCTGACTGATTCCGGGGGGGGCTATACTAGAGCTGTTATAGTACCTCATCTTCCCGAATAGGCGAGCATGAGCCCAGAGATGAGCCTTTCATTCATAGCGACGCCATGCATCTGCACGCTAAGCTGGTGAGACTGTTGAAAACTTCTCGACAGTGGTGCATACCAGCATCTTATCCATCTAGGTACAACGGGTTGAAGGGACTGTTGGTATACCGTACTGATTCCCAACTTAGACAAGAGCTTCGAAAAGCCTCAAGGTCAACGCTGATCACTGCCCATGTTCAACGTGTAAGCCAGGGTGGGATGGAACATGGCTCGGGAGAGATCTTACTTCAGTTCGGTAGGTCCCGTGGACCCTGAAAATCGCCTGAAAAATCCACGTGTGGATCCTTAAGTAGCATCACATTCCCAAGTAGGTGGTCACCTTGTCTAATTTTTCACCTTTACTCCTTGACATTGCATACTATATAGACGCCTACTGTGTAGAGTACGCACAACACGTATGGTCTCGGTCTCCAGCGTGGCTGCATTAGTCGTTCGTCCCACCTCTGCGGCTGGATGCTCGGGGAGCAGCTTCGTCCAATCCTGTCGTAGCTATTAGCCACTATTCTGAGACCCTCGTATTCCATCCGCGCTACTTTGGTACACGAACAGGGATCGTCAGGTCTAGGCTAATATGTTCGAAGAAAAAGTGATGGCACCTACATAGGTACACCAAGACGACTAAAAATTTATAGTATTAAAGTCCGTCTTTCCCTAGCCCTGTGCTGAGCTCATCCATGATGATTGATTGTCTGCGTCTTATTCCCTAATATCGTCAGACTAGGCGTTAGGATATATGGCAGTCTCGTTAATCCTAATAATTCTTAATACTACTTGATTCTGGGTCAGTACTAGGACTAGTCCTCGCCATGCGCTGGAATATACATTTCTTGTCGGCGATGCTCTCGCTGAGCACGCTGACAGGCGCAGATCCAACATGGCCTTCCCAGAACGACGAGTTGGAAGAAATCATGTATCAAGTAAAAGGCTACCGAGCCCGACTATTCGGCGGAACCGTCATACCCTGCTCCAGTCAAGCTTCAGGGCCAGGCCGTCACAATGCCGCCGAGTGGTTGAGAGCTGCTTTTCACGATATGGCGACTACCACCATTGCCGAAGGCCCGCGACAGGGCGGCCTGGATGGGTCACTACAATACGAACTAACGAGCTCGGACAATATCGGTTCGGCCTTCAACACCACACTCAAGTTCATGGCCGACTACTACACAAGTAGATCAAGTGTAGCCGATCTTCTTGCTTTGGGCGTGTACTATGCCGTCAGATCGTGTGGTGGTCCGGTGGTCCCCGTGACCGGTGGTAGGATCGATGCCAAAGAAGGAGGTCCTATTGGTGTTCCTCTGCCACAAAACTCGGCCTTCACATTTGGGCAGCAGTTCCAGCGCATGGGCTTCGACTCAACCGAAATGATTCAGGTTGTTGCATGTGGCCATACTATCGGCGGAGTTCACGAGAATAATTTTCCCGAAATTGTTGCAGCGGGCAGTACAGAGGACGGCGAGGGGCCAATGGATTCCACAGTGGATGTATTCGACAACAAGGTCGTCACCGAATATATCTCGGGCAATACAACGAACCCCATGGTCGTCGGCCCTTCGATCAAAGCTACTAGGAACTCTGACTTCAAGGTCTTCAACTCGGATGGAAATGAGACAGTAACTGCCATGGCAGACCCCGAGGCCTTCCGCAGCATTTGCGCCACGGTATTACGCAAAATGATTGAAGTCGTCCCTGATGAGGTCGTTCTTACTGATCCTATTCAACCTTATGCTGTTAAGCCAGTCGATATGCAGCTCACACTGAACCCTGGAGCTTCAACTTTGCAACTGTCTGGGTTCATACGAGTCCGCACCACCAACTTTGGAGATGACTCTGCCGGGAGTGTGGTACTGACTTACAAAGATCGAAGTGGCGGCGACGATTGCGGCACCCTAGGTTGTACGCATGCCCTCGACCTCCTAGGGGCTACCGAGGGCTTTGACGACACGTTCGTGGTGAGTTTATCTTGTACTGCCTTAAGCTGCCTCCTATTCCCGCTTTCTAACGTGTATCTTAGTGGTTCCCAGTCGACGTTGAAATCCCGGCCTCCTCGGGCATCTCCTCTTTCACTTTGACCGTCAATAAGGCCAGTGGAGAGTCTGAGGCTTATGACAACAACGGCGAGTCGTATCCCATTCAGGATGCTATTCTTATGCAGAAACCCCAAAGCTGTCTTCTTCAAGGCAAATTGGATGTTGTGGCAGCTGTGAGTTTTAACTCTGTCTGGCTTGGTCACAAGGTACTGTACTGACGCCCTGAAATAGGTTCGCAACGACCTTAATAACTCGGCTCCTGTCAACCTACATCTGTCATACAAGACACCCGTTGGTGACCCGAACCGCCCAGTTCCCACCCTAAACGATGAGACTGTGGAGATGAAGAAGGGTACCTGCGTCGGACTATACACATTCTATACGGCTACCTATGAAGGCCTTGGCGACCTTGATTATGCTACCAAGATCGACGTAGTCACCGGGACTGGTGCGTCAGCTTCGCGGGATGCCTTCAAGGCGGCAAGCAAGCTTGGAGCACAGTGCGCCGCATTCCAAGCCCCTCCGGCATCAATGTGCTCGCGTGCGGATGATCCCGACCCGCCAGAGGAAACCTCTACGTCGGTT